GAAGATGGAGCAATCTACTTCCGTAGTGATACTGCCTCAGAAACCCAAGAAGTGGTCGCTATGAGTCGAGTCCGATTCGACGGCACATAACAACAACAAACAACGAGGGGTTAAAGAGCGGAAGGGGTTATTTTCAATGAAGTGGTCAGAGACTGTTTCTGCTGAGGCTGGTAGGTGAGAGAAGGAGTCATTTAAATGAAGGTGCAAACCATGCAGCTGTTTGGGGAAAGAGCAGTCTAGGCAAAGAGCAGATTATGCAGAGGCCTAGAGAATAAAACATGTGTAGTAGCTTCCAGCTGCAATAGTCCAAGTATGAGATGTGGGAGAATCAGACTGGGGTGGAGGCAATGGAGGTGGTGGGAAGTGGCCAGCTTCAGAATACACTCTGAGAGTAGAGCTTACTAGCTTTGCTGTTGGATCAGATGTGGGCACAGGAGAAGGAAGGGAGCTAAGGCAATCAAGGCCAAAAGTGCAGGGATGAGGGGACAGTAGAAGGAGAAGAGCTGCTCCACAGACCAGGGGAGGACCTTACTTTTCCTTTGGATGTGATGAGAGCTTTGAGAGGGATTTCAGCAGAGGTGGGGCATGATCTGACTTAAGTTCTAACCAACACTCAGGCTGTGGAGCGGAGAACAAACTGTAAGGGGCCAGAGACGGAGCAGAAGAGCTCAGAGGCTGGTACTGTTATCCAAGTGAGGAATGATGGTGGCTTGCCCTAGATGCTGACTGGGATGGGAAATCAACATTTATTTTAGTACAAACAGTAAGAGGATTTCAAGACAATTATTGAGTAAATAATAGCTAGTAAAACTCATGAAGGTGGTTGAGAAATGATTGAAGTTTGGGAGGTACTGGTAGTGGTGACAGCCGTTTGCCCTCAATTACTAACTGAAAGGCTGACAGTCAGAACCCATCCAGTGCTGCCATGAAAGAAGGGTGTGGTGATCTGCTTCCCTAAAGATTACAGCCAAGACAACCCTACCAAGCAGTTCTACTGTGTAACACATGGGGTCGCCATCACTAGGAATGGACTTACGGGCAACAGGTAGTAGTAGTAGCAGCAGGCTGTGGATCTGGGCTGAGGTCAGCAGCTGTACCCTCTTGGGGAAGTAGCTTCAACTGTCTGAGGCAGTTTTGTCATCTGCAAAATAGAGACAATAATGGCACACATCTCACAGAGTTGTTGAGAGGATGATAGAAAGGTTTTTGACACAGGAGCTAGCACACCAGATACATTTTCTCTGTCACTCACTGGCAGGCTGTGTTACCTTGGTCAAATTTACCCTTCCATGCCTCAGTTTTCTCATCTGTAAAATAGCAATATCATTAATGCCAATATCATAGGCTTGGGTTGTGAAGATTAAATAAATGAACACAAGGCATTTAGAACGCGGCACCATAACAAGCATTTCTCAAGTATCAACTATTATTATGAATAGATTTTAGCCATATTTCGTAACCTCTTTCCCCTTTTGCAAGGAGCTCTGGTAGCACAGTGCCTAAGGTATGTGACTGCTAACCAGAAGGTTGGTGGTTCAAACCCACCAGCCACTCCACGGAAGCAAGACTGGACAATGTACTTCGGTAAAGATTTACTGCCTGGAAAACCCAGTAGAGGTCGCTATGAGTCGGTATCAACTCGATGGCAGTAGGTTTGCTTTTGGTTTCCCCTTTTTGCGGATGGGAAGTCTGTTGCTCTTTGTAAAGTATTCTCACCTTGCAGACCCAACGGACTGAGAGTAGCGATCCCGCTTTGTGGATTTTCAGCTTTGAAGGGCCACGCCCTCAGGAATCTGCCCAGCCTGGTGGTGGTCGCGGAACCTTAAGAGTCGCGCTGTCGTTTCCAGCCGGCCACTCGCTTGAGCAAGAGAGGTTGCGCTTGGACCTACTTCCGGAAGCCCTGCCCCTCCCCGGGGCAGCTCCATTTGGGTAGCTCCATTTTGGCAGCAGGTGGAGTTTGGGCCAGAGCAAGCGGAGTAGAAGACCGTGGAGTCATCCGTTTTCAGAGGACTGCACGGGCTCACCACCTTCTTGCCTCTCTTTCCTGTGCTTGCAGAAGCAGCTGGCGTCCATGGCTGGATTGGAGGTGCTGTACGCTTCGGCAGCGCCGGCCATCACCTGCGCTCAGGACGCGCTCATCTGCTTCCTGCACTGGGAAGTGGTGACGCACGGCTACCACAGCCTGGGTGCCGGCGACCAGGTACACCACGGAACCTGGGTGGAGGGAGGTGCTGCCTTCTGCTTAAACCCAGAGGACTGGAGGCCGAGTCCAGAGCGCCTGACTTCCCTGTCCTCAAGTCCGAGGCCTGGGACACACGGCACCAATGGGATAGCCTGCGGGCCAAGGGTGCTCATTTATTCCAGCCCACCTCGGAGTGCTTCTGAGCACAGCTGGCACAACCTGATTTGTAAACCCATGAACAAAAGCACAGCGTGACAATCTGTCAGGGCAGGATTATGTGGTCCTGGCACCCAGGTTGGGGTGTTGCTCCCCTGAGCACACCTCACCTACCTGAACTTCACTCAGCTTCTTACCACTCAGCTTGGGGGAGCAGAGGCTGTACACACGTAACTTCATACTGTACTCCAGCCTCCGACAGACAGCTGGATCCACCGGGATGGACGCCGGGTGTTTACCTCACTCAGCATGGGCCCAAAGCCCAACTGAGTACACACATACACCCTGGTGTGAGGGCCGGGTAAGGTTTCTTCTCCCACAGCTGTCTTTGCAGGGCCAGCACCTTCTGTTGACCACTGTCTCTCCGTGCACCCTAGTGCTAAGTCACGCATGTCGTCTGAGGGGATAGATGTGTGGATTGCAAACCGACCATGGTGTATTTTTGCTTCTCTTCCTCTCACAGGATGGTGTCTGCTTTCTCTCCTTCAGTGTCATTGAAGCCCAGGTTGTACTAGGCCTCCTCTCACTTCTGCCGAGTAAACTTTCATTTAGAGCAGAAGTTATTTGGAGAGACATCTTCTCTATTAGTATCCCCCGCCCCCTTAAAAAAAAAAACAAAACCCACTGCCACCGAGCACCGAGTTGATTCCGGTTCATCGTGACTGTAGGGGACAGAGTAGATCTGCCCCATTGAGTTCTCAAGGCTATAAATACTTACTGAAGCAGACTGCTTTGTCTTTATCCCATGGAGCGACTGATGGGTTCAAACTGCGAACCTTTTGGTTAGGAGCTGAGTGCTTTAACCACTGCACCATGAGAACTGCTTTTAGTTTATTTAAGAGGGGGGCTTAATTTTCTGGCTTGAGGCCAGCTGACTTGGTAAGAGGGGTCGTGTTTGCCAAGCTCAGAACGTGTTTGTGTTGCCTTCTCAGCCACCTCCTGCTCTCCACCTTTGTGGGGCAATGAGAGGAAGGTCCTGAGAGCATACTTAACTGTATCATTTCTTGACAGTTAGATAGAAAACGAAATAGCCTGCTCTTCTCTTTAGTTTTGTATGTGCTGGTACTGGGAAACTGTCATAAAACTTGAATGGAAGAGCAGCACACTCATTACTACAACTAAAATTCAGTATTAGAATTTGGATTTCTTCCTTGAAGTCAGCACCATCCCTCGTAAGAGCTTTATAGCTGTGTCAAGTGGTTTAAGGGACAAGGAATAGAGACTAATAGACTTAAGTTAGGGCATTTTATTTTCTGTTGTAGGAATCACAGATTAAGATGAAAGAGCAAAGCTGCCCAAAATGATCTGTGTGAGTCGCTTTGGGTACAGTTGGCCGAGAGGCACTGGAGTGAACTTATGACCTTTGAAAACTGTGTCCAGCCCCAGGATTTTGCCAGCAGGGACAGTACCTTTATTCTCTTTGGGCCAGCCTGGTAGACCTGGCTGGGAATAACTGTTCTCCAGACTTAGCCTAGCCAGCCAGAAGGTCTGATTCCAAAGCCAGCTACATTTGACTTGCTGTGACCTTGGGCAATTCTCAGCCTTAGGGTTTTCATCCCAGGGAGTTAAAGGACAGGCCCATGTACGTTGGCTACTTTCCAGCCTTCACATTCTGGGAGCCCTGATACTTGATGTCAGGGCCTAGGGAGAGGTTGAATGCTGTGTTTGGCTAGCTATCGTCAGAGCCAGTCCCTCTCAAGTCACACCTCTGTTTTCCCCATGTCAGGGCAGCCCTTTGGGCCTGGGGCACATGGGTTACACTGCAGTGAGTGGTATCAGCCTCTCCCAGCCTCGGAATTGTTTATCTCTTCCTCTGGAAGCCAGAGGTGGTGTGGTGGTGAGCAGACGGAATTATCTATAGTCAAAGAGAGCATTCTGGTGGATTGAACGATGTCCGTGGGAAGATGTAATCCACCGCCGAACAAAGACAAGGCATGTGACAGTGCTAAATCCCCAGCTTCCAGAGGGAACAGGAAATTTGCTGAGGGGACATGGGGCGGGGTTGGGTAGGGGTGGGTGTTCACTTTCTCTTTCTCCCTTAGCTGAGCGGTTTGATTAGTTTCACTTTTGTTCTTGTCACTCTCCTCTCTCTCCTTCAGTCCTGTGAGTTTCCTTGTCATACAGCCAGGCTTTAAACCATGCCAGTTGTGACTCCTGTGTGCGTCCCCTAATCTCATTTCCTGGACTCCCGTGGTCCTTGGTCTCTGTAAGGCCCTGCTTTGCTGCACCTTTGCTTTCCCTTCATTCTTTATCTCTGGTGCTACTCCCCTCTCCATCAACAGGCACTTACTCATGAATACATTGAATATAGGTCTTCCCAACCCACCTGCTCCATGTTTAGCTATAGAAATATATATCCATGAAAAATATGTAGTCTATTCTGTTTGTTTGTTTGTTTGTTTTTACAATTTTACATAAATGATGCTAGGCTGTATACCTCATTTCTTTAGAACTTGTCTTTAAATAAGGAGCGCTAATGGCACAATGGTTAAAGCATTTGGCTGCTAACCAGAAGATCCGTAGTTTAAACCCACCAGCCACTTTGCAGGAGAAAGATATGACACTCTGTTTCCGTAAAGATTTACAGCCTTGGAAACCATGTGTGGGGACTGTTCTTCTCTGTCCTCATAGGGTGTCTATGAGTTGGAATCGACTCGATGGCAGGGCTTTGGCTTGGTGGGTTGTCTTTAAAGCGTGCCTCTTACTTTACCTGTAATGATACAGATAGATCTAGAGCATCCTTCTGACTGTGATGTGGTATTCCATTGTAAAAGCTTATTTTGCACTTTGCTCCACTCAGATGTTCCACAAGGAGCCCTGGGGGTGCAATGGTTAAAGTGCTCAGCTGCACCATGGAAGAAAGATGTGGCAGTCTGCTTTCTAAAGATTGCACCCTTGGGAACCCTGTGGGGCAGTTCTCTGTCCTATAGGCTATGAGTTGGCATTGATTCGCCAGCAAGGAGTCTGCTTTTGGTCGGATGCTCTGGACGATGCTGTCCATCTGTGCACAGGTGTCTAGGGACTGAAGTGATCATTTCAGCCCGGTGTCTATGACCTGCTATCTCATTATTTTAACCTGCACTTCTCTGCTAGTAAGGTTGAACAACCCCTTTATACAATCACCAGCCACTTCATCTTTGGTTTGTTCCTATCTTTTGCCAGTTTTTCACAAGTTCCCAGTGTTTTCCTGTTTATTTCCTAGGCATGCTCTATATCCTGAATATTGTCCATTTGTAGCCATGGCACACATCTCTTCCTAGCCTATAGCCTGCCCATCAATTTGATGGTGCCTGTTGAACAGAAGCTTGAAATTATGAGCAGTCTCAAAGGCTTCATTATTTTTCTTTTATGGATCTTATTTAAGAAATCCCACCTGCAAATCGTGAGATAGTAGAACGATTCCTCAAACTTGAGTGTGTAAAAGATAAGTCCAAGGATTGTTGAAAAAAAAAGAAAGCAAGATACTATAACTCACAAGAGAAGAGAGCAAGCAAGACACTGCAGCTCATGATAAAATGCCTTTTACACCCAGCAGGTTGGGGAACATGAGGAAGTTGGACGTTAGCAACATTGCCAATGATGTGGAGCAGGGGGACTCTTTTACATTGCTGGTGGGAGTGCAAATTACGTTTTTGAAAAATAATCTGACTTTATCTTATAAATTAAAAGTTCTTTCCCCAAAAAATTGTAGAGAAAATTCATCCATATGTGTACCAGATGTCTACAGGAGTAGTCATGGTAGCATTGTTTATATTAGCAAAACAAAAGCAGTGGAAGCACCCCAGATGTCCACCAACAATTGAATATACATTGCAGTGTCTTCATACAATGGAATGCTATGTAGCTGTGCGTGTTAAATGCATTGATGTGGATGAATCTCAAAAAACATCGCGTGACAAAGGCAAGTGGCAGATGTGATACTGTGCACATAATATTCACAAGCATTTGAAACCTTAACATTTTTTTCTGTTGCATGTATAGTAATACAGTTATAAGGAAAGTGAGGAAACTTTATAGATAAAGGACAGAATAGTGGTCACCCTTGAGGAGGAAGGAGGGAGATTGATTGGGGCATGCTAATCACAGCTCTAAGGAGTCTCTGGGTGGTGCAAACAGTTAAGTGGTTGAAAGGCTGGCAGTTGAAACCCACCCTTGGGAGACAGGCCTGGCAATCTGCTTCCAAAAGGTTACTCACTGCTGTCAAGTCGGCCCCAACTCATAGCGACCCCTCCTTGGGTTTCCGAGGTGGTATCACTACGGAAGTACATTGCCCAACCTTCCTTCCAAGGAGTGGCTGGTAGGTTTGAACTGCCATCCTTCTGGTTAGCAGTCACATGCCTTAGGCACTGTGCCACCAGAGCTCCCTTCAAAAGGTTATAGCCTTGAAAACCCTGTGGAGCAGTTTACTCTGCACACATGGGGTCACCATGTGAGAATTGACTCAATGGCTGCTAACAGCAAAAACAATCAGGGCTTTAGCAGTATTAGTGATGCCCTATTTCTAAAACTGGTGGTGGATACACAGGCATCCATTTCATAATTCTTTTTATCTTATACATATGCTACATTTTGTGTATGTGTGAAAATTGTTCACAATTTCTGTTAAACCCCTGCAGTACACTAAAACAAAAAAAAACCCTCACTACCATCAAGCCAATTCCAACTCATAGCAACGCCCATTGGGTTTCCAAGGCTGTAAATCTTTACGGGGGAACTCCCCATCTTCCTTCCATGGGGTAGCACCCCATCTTCCTTCCGCAGAGTAGCTAGTGCGTTTGAACCACTGACCTTCCCATTAGCAG